CATCGACTTGAACCAGACTATGGAAGAATTTGCGTCAGCTGTTGCAAAAGGAACTCTGCCTTTGCTGGTAGATGGGCACAACGTGTGGGTAAAATCCTTAGCTTCTTGTTCCGACAAATCCTGCAACAGCACCCGGGTACTGGCCGTTTCAGACAAACCTCCCGAATGGAACAAGAGATCTGCTCATTCCGCCTATAGTAACCTCGGGCCGTATGGATTCACAGCGACACTGGTAATCAGTTTTCTGAATAAACTGTTTTTTTAGGTTGATACTATACTACACTAGTGATCACTAGTCTGGTGTGTGAAATAGGACGCTGTATAAAACAACAGTTCCATTGTATGGAACACTTTGCATCGGTATTCAGACTATTGCAATATAAAAACTAGTAAGGCTTGATTATGTTAGCTTCGATGTATTAAGCGATAATTTTGTTTTCTTATTTTAACTGTGCAGAAGCGCTTAACAGGTAACTAGTTGCAAGGAATTTCTCAGAAAAAGTAGAAATTATGGTAAAATTTCCCGATATGGAAACCTAATTATAGCGAAAGGTGCACTCTGATTTCGTGTAATTGGGATAAACTAAGCTAAACTTTCTTTTTACTGCTACTAATAGATTCACTATTTATGTATTTAGCTATTAATCGATGATGTGTAACCATTTCATTTATATGCACAAATAAAATGACCTGTAACGCATGACAGAATGTGTGGCCACCAGAGGCGAAATGAGGACGAACCAAATTGAAGACGGCTCATACTCGGGGTAAAAACCTGCGAACCTCAGCTCTAGTGACGTAAGACAATTACATGTGATGAAATGAAGCCAGTGAGCAGTCAAGAAAATAGAGCCAAGGAAAATAATAGTTAGAAAATAATAGTTAGAAAACTTCACAGGTTTTCATGAGGTTTTTACACTGAGGATGACCAGAAAAGACGCTTTCGTAAGTTTTTGCGAAGTGTGGGAGGGGTGGGAAGAGGAGGCGACGCCGGAGGCAAGGTTAGAGGATGTGTTCAAAACCGAGACAAACCTAGTAGCTCAAATACAAAAACAACAACAACAACAACGATAACCTTTATTTGCATGACTATAATTACTTACAGTATTGCAAAAGGTATTTAAAATAAGACAACGAAAAGAGAAAGAAATAATCGTAATAATGATATTTATAATAACAGATAATCAAGTGATCATGACATTATTCTTACGTGACAGGACTGTCACGAAAATTATTCATTAACGAGATATAATCAATCGTTAATTAAGAAAACTACTTCTGAGTTAATCAGTTTAATCACCAGGTCAGAGAAAGACAACTGTTGAAAGTTATGAATATAACTCTGTATTTGAGCGAAAAATTCATTTCTTATTTTGAAATATTTTGGGCAATATCAGAGAAAACGAATTTCATCTTCGATTTCATTGGAATGACAAACTGGACATGATCTTTTGTCGTGAGGAGTTTGGTTATATCTTCCAGTCTCGATCACAAGTTTATGATTGCTTACGCGTAATTTTACCAAAGGCATAAACTAAGCTAAATTGCGGAGCTGAGACGCTTCCGTAGATTTTAATAAAAAGTCTTGATTAGCCTGTACATTAAACAGAAACACATTTGAATTCAAGGGACTTCTAGAAAGCAAAGGTATTTAGTCGTTCCGTATCGCATATAGGTATCCCTAAGCTCTTACTTTTTCACATGGGTTCCTCTTGATACTTTTTGAAGATGCAATTTTTCACCAGCCGATTCATATAGCTATCAAATTAGAACTTAAAGATCCTAAAAGCTTAGTTCTTAACTGCATTCTTTGGTCTAAAAGGTTTTGTATCTAAGACGACAACATACTCGTCAGTTGGAATGGTAGCATCAGTTTCACGAATTGTGTAGGAAAAATTTGCAAAAGAAAAATGGCAGATGGTAAACATTACTATTGTTCATCCATAAAGAAAACAACGTACTCTGTACATTCGTTTTCAATCGGGTAGGCATCCTGGTTCTAATTATTGTTTTCTCTCGAGAAGTCTTAAACTTAACTGAACTAAAACTTGTGACCGAATTAAGGCATCTACATAAAACTAATTGCGGGTTTTTCATAAATTAGTGGGGAGACAAACCTTCTGTTTCCATGCACCGGGAAGGAACATCTAGGGTGTGTCGGATTTTGCTCACCCTTAACTATTGCCATTCCCAGTAATCGGAATCACAACCATGAAAAACTGATATTGAAAAAAGGATCGTTTTCATATGACGTCATGGCAGCATAATCGCCACTTAAGAAACGATAAGGAATTTTGGCCAGGTTCGCAAAGACTTTTGGAACTGTTAATAGGGACGGGAAAAATATTGGCCAATAGCTGACCGGCGTGTCTCCAGTAACGATCCCACAAACAATTGCGGGGCGCATTTCGGCTCCAGTTCCTTTCTCGCACGACGAATAGGTCACTTTCACGACCACGACATTTCACCACAACTACCAGAATTTATTTCGTTTTTGCTTTCTTATTCAAACTTGTCCATCGCACTAAGGTTTAAAAAGAACCTGATAGCACTAATTTGCACAAGAGGACAACAAACTGAAGGATTCTGGTGGTCGTAGTAAAAGTTCGTCAATGTGCAATTATCCTCTTGGTGTGCAAAACTGTGAAACGGCGGCCTACTTGGTGACCAAGAAATTCCAGTGGGAATTGAACTCTTTTCTCATGTAGAACCTTTCCATTGTTCCGAGAAATTTGCATAGCCACTGATCACGTGAGTGAAAACGATCCATAATTTTGCTTTGTAAATTGGCAGCTTTAAAGTTCAGAAGGCGCATCGAACATACAAAGTACCGTTCAGGGAGTAGTTTATTTAAGAAAATATTATAGTATTTAGTCAACAAAACAAAACAAAAACACTTGCATTCAAAACTTTGTCTTTATTTTCTCAGTCAGATTACTTACAACCGTCTCTCGCAACAGATTCGCTCCAGGTCTTACTAATCAGCAAACCAACTGTCAACTGCTGTCTATAAAAAGAAAACCTAAGATCCCCATAATTCACCCAATACGTCAACTTAAAAACTAACAACGAAAAAAAATACAAATATTCCTACTTCTCCTATCTTAACGTACTACAAAAAAACCTTAAGCCCACTAGCGATACCCTAGTAAAAGCTCAATGGTATAGGACTAACAAGAAAAGATGCCCCTTTCATACTGGTGAATAAATGTGTTTACCATAGGCTAGTGGAAAAAGGCTAGTCTTATGCACTGAGACAACACAAATGACTCAGACCGGGTCTTGCCGGAAATCATAAAAATTGATCCTAATGATAGCTAATATACTTCTGTAAGCATTGCATAAACTACTGGACCCAATGCTGCACCTTTATTGAAGGACAATATAAAATTTTGAATTGTCGATTGCTTTAGTTTTGCTTTGTGATTGGCTGAGGAAATCGTGCCACCTTCTGGACCAATCGGGAAACAACAAAACCAAAGTGTACTTTCTTCACATGCGCTTGCCTCGGGGTCTGATTGGGTAATTACATAGCCCACGTTCGATATATTAAAATTCTAACATGACTCCGAGGCTTTCTGGTAAGTCTCTTCTGGGAATTGCGAGACAGTAGAGTCGTGAAAAATTTGCAATTTGGACCCTAAAACTTCGAATTCGTATAGGTAATATAGGTTTCACTCAGAATGATTTTTATTGAAACAAAAGATTTTTGCATGAAAGAACTCAACTCCCACAGGACTGATATTTCACCAAAATTTCATTGTTTTGGGACACCAATACGTACGTCATTTTATAGAAATTTTTGAATAAATCACGTGATATTTCAAAATTGTTTACGCCAAATTTTGAAATTTTACAAATCCGAGTGGTTATTTATTTCCTGCTATTATTTGTTTATACTACTACCCGCAAAAGGTTTGTAATTTTCACGTGTAGGTATTTCATATTAAGCTGAAATACCACTGCTCTAAGCCAATCAAATTGCAGAAATTTCTCCTGTAGTAGTATGAATGTTAGAATTTTTGATATATCGAACGCGGGCAATTGCGTGCACCGTGATTGGCCACAGCAATTGCTTTGGTTTGGTGTTGCGTCATTCAACAAAAACGGCTCTAAAAATAAACGAAGAAGTATTTACAGACAAGTTGATTTAGTGCCATTTGTTCTGTTCAACTCTTTGAGCCCCGATACCAGCTAACAAATTCTCCACACTTATCTCCATACTTACTTTGAGCAGTTAGTTGAGAGAATTAGTTAGTGATCATTTTTAAATTCTCATAACCTTTTTTTTAATGACATATTGATATCGTCAGGAGAAAATTGCTGTTGGTCACTTTCAGGGTTTAAGGGGTTGAGGAATTACCGTACTAACTACTTCAGAGTTAATTGACAATTATTCCTCGAGTCCGAATGGGCTCTGAGTCAATAGCCAATGAGGCCGAAGGCCTCATGGGCTATTGACTCAGAGGCCATGAGGGCGAGGGGAATAACTGTTTTAGTAAAATCCAACAAGTTGGTCGAAAATATCGAGACAAAACAACTTTAGCTGGTTAAAGTAAGACTTTAATCCCTTTTGGCCGCCAAAAATCCGGCGCTTTTCGCTACTAGTGGGCTATAACATATAGCCTAGTAGCATCTCAACCAATCAGAACGCAGCATTGACAATAGACCACTAGTTGGATTTTACTAACAAACGTTAGTACTCAATTTGCAATCCAAGACATAACTGGGACTCGACCAAATGTTAAGTCTTTAAATTTAAATATTTTAGATATTCCATGTAAAACTATGCCGTCGATATCATTCAGATATGAAAGCGATCAAATTTATACCAGAACCTTAAGATCTGACAACGGCAACGGTGACCTCCTTTGCCTTCCTTTCCCCAGTCTAACACTACAATAGGCTATTGCATTTAATAGCTGAGATCGTTATACGTTTCTGGGAAACTGCCCACCTACCCCGCCCCTAAGCCAACATTAATACTTACTTTTCATTTTGGGCAAAATGTTGACTTAGGGGAGGGGTAGGTGGGCAATTTCCCAGAAACGTTCAATTATGATCCAGTAGCTTCACCCCCGGGATAAGTATTTACCTTTTCTTCTTACCCCTGGGAAATTCCATGATGTTGCATTTACCCCTGTCGAGTCACAAAACCTTTATAACTTACCCCTGAAGAATTCCACCTGGTCTCAACCCGGATGTTGTGCATACTTATTAAATGCAGTAGCCTTATTTTACCCCTAGTATTTCGAAGCTTTTGATAATTCGAACAAATATCTCTTTTCCCAGGAGGGTTAAGAAAAGTGGGATTTCACTGTGCTGCTGCATCGGCTTAAAAAAAAAAAAGGAAAAATTCTCACAGTAACAAAGTAATTTGCCTTTCCGGAAGTAAATCGGGAGAGACTACGCCACAATGTTGGCACTAAGATTTCTGGGATCGATAGCGCGACAAATAAAAGTTGTGGTCGGTTAATATACAGTTGCCTATGGAAACCACTAACTAGTCAATTGAATCGCAGTCTTCCTGAAGAGATACGACTAAGATAACGCTTGAAAATTATGTTTTCCGATGAAGAACTCGACCTGCGCAAAAGATATGTTGCATATATGAGTCTGAAATATTAGGTGGACAAGGTATGGGAAACTTAATTTTCAAAAATCCATTGAAAAAATTTCCTGATTTTTCCAGTGGGAAGGGAAAACCTGTTACCAAGTGCGCTGCAAAACGTCGGTCGGATAAAGCAAGTTTAATTCTTGCGCAAAGAAAGGTGACAGGGCCATCTGTAATTGAGCTGCAGATTAGTGATGCAGTCTCCCCTGCTGAGGTCAGATCGCAAGGTCTCCTAATAATTATTTTGCTTCCTGGCCCTCTCATCACCCGCAGAATAAAATGGGAATAGTCAATTGATCATACTAGGAAAGATTTCTGTTAATGAGTTGTGATCTGGTAGAAAAATAAAATGAGACTTAGTACAAAGTGCAGACACCCAAGAGGTCCTGTCAGGGGAGGTGTACCGAGTTCCCTCCGTCTTATGTGAATATTTCATCATCGTCGTCGTAAATGGAGAGAAATCGCAGGAAGATTGTTATGATTTCATTTTACGAGGTTTAGTTGCTTTTTGGTGCCATGTAGCTTGTCGAATTTCGCCCTGGCAGGACCTTAATGAAATCTTGTACTGTTTGCACTGGTCTAATCTCACACGTGGGTGTCTCGATGCGCCAGTTATTGATGAGGGGAATCGAGACACCCCCAGCTGGAGACTGAGCCTAGTCTAACCTGCGATTCAGTCAAATCTAGTAAATCATTGTTCAGAGCTAATTAGATCCCCACTATTCGTTCTGGTCGAAACTGACCGGCAGAGACCTTTTTCTCAGACGAACTCACAGGCAGGACATTTTGCTAATTTGTTAAAGACTAAGAACAAAAACTTTAAAAGATATCCGGACATGATTTCCAATCCCTGTTCCAGTAGGTTCCAGTGAAAAGCCAGTCCATCTGACTGGTGTAAGGATTCATGTCCTCTTTAAACCATCTAGAAAAAAACAAGGTACAGTGCTGAATGATGATAAAGCAGGTTTACATGCGTAATACAAGCATTGCTGGTTGGCACATGAGTTCAAGGAAGCTTTGCAGGAAGTCTGGAGCAACGAAGCTCTTGGCAACCCCTCTTTTCATAGGCAAATTGCATGTGCAAGAGGACTGCGTACGAATCCGTATGTTATGGGACAAACAAAACAAGACCCACAGTGTCAGAAAGAGTACACCGAGCTCTTGTACTATTTGATTTTCCGCTAAGAATTAAGGAATTTTCCGCCAGATGGCCCCACAATGCCCAAGCATCAAAATTACCGAGTTTAAAACAAATTTTACCACGTAAAAGAACTGTTGCCGAGGTTTCAGTTGAGTGGTAAGACCCTAAATCGACTCCGGCAACAGAAGAGTTAAAGAAAAAAAGGAACGAACTATTACCTTGGGATCCAGCGCTCATTTTTCTTTTGTCTTTCTCTTTTAGCAGCACGTTGCTTCTCTTCAACTCGAATTTTTTCTTGAGTAGCTTTATCTGTGGATATAAAACAACAATCAATATGGATAACGCTTATCCAGGATTACCACAAACAATTTTTTTTTTCTTTTCAAGTTACTCTTCAACTACGTTAACTGATCTGACCATCGCGTTATAACGAGCCCACCATATCCGCTTACGGAAGTTCCCAAACGTTACTTTCTTTACAACTCCCCACTCCAGAAACTATATGGGGGAATGGGTACAAGCTTCCGGCACAACGATTTCTGGGACTGTTAGAGTGAATAATCCCTACTTACTAGTAGTAACCAACGGTTAGGGAAGACGGCGACAACGATCGAAGGTAAAAACGCTTTTGCTCCAACGCTGAGCTTTGCGTAAGTTTTACATGACAGATGGTCAAAAAGCCAGTGATCAGTTTACGAGGGTAGAAAGTCCAAACGCGCATGATCAAATTGCATTCTGCGCATTCCATTCATTCTTAGTGAACGTCCAAACGAATGATGGCTACATACATTCGACGCATGCGTAATAACAACCTGGAGATTAGCATTAAGGGCTCCTCTTGTCGCCCGCAATGATTGGTTAATAGTTGCCTTGGATACCATCGACCAATCATAACTAACGCTTGTCCACCCCAAGGATCCTAGAAACCACTCCACTCAAAGCTTGTACTCGTACTCCCAAAGTTTCTGAAGTGAGGAATCTTACTAAGCTGTGAACAGAGGTTTCTTGAAGGAATGGGTATTAGCACGTGTGGAGTCGTTCGTGTCGCTGTTATTCGCAAAATGGTTTGTTTTTCGCGAATGGCATTGACGAGAACGACTTAAAAACCACACCGGAATGAAACCTCTCTTAGCAGGGTACAATTTTTACCTCTGTAACAACTTACCTAAGTCCCCATTTTCCAGTGCTCGACAGTCGGGTCTGAGCCTTGAATCCGTGGGTGGTAACTGTGAAAAAAGATTGAAACGAAAACGCTTAATAGTAGTAATAATAATAATCATCATCATCATCATCATCATCTTAAAACACTATTCAGTAAATATCCCTTCAAGAGACCCTTCTTCCCCAGTACCTTTGAAAAGGCAAAAACTAGGATATATTCGATTCCTTTTCCTGTAGTTTTATTTGCATGATGCACAAGTGCAACAGTACCCTGCGAGTCAGCTCTCAATGTGGGGGAATATCGCGAAAAGTCATAGGCAAGCGGCACGCGAAAGAAGGCGAGAAAGCGCGAGGCGCCATTGCGGCGACGCGCGTTGTCTTGCAGCTCTCTTTTCCATGTGATTTCGAGCTACAGAATAAAGCTAAGGAAAATGCATACGCGCGGAAATAACCCTTTTGCTGATTGAAGTAAGTTGTCTGTCCGTTCTCATAGATTAACGTATGCCTTACCAAGGGCTGTTGGTCTTCATGAAGTTCATTCAGCTGCATGGCGTAGGTAGTGAAATTATACATCTAAACGAAATAAAATATGGCACGTGACCCTCAGACGTACAGGCAAAGGCATACTATCACTTCTCTAGTGGAAGAGTGGTATTTTTCTGCTTAAGTAGGAAGATTGTTAAAGCATTCCCCTCACTAAAAACGTTAAACTGACGGAATTACGGACATGAAAAAGATGGGCCCCTTCTCCTCATGAAATGGGGGGCAACAAATGAGAATTCAAATTTTGATCTTGTTTACTAAAGACAAAAACTAAACACGGACTACTACGCCCACTACACAACTCCGCCTATTGTTAGAAACAGTCCCATGTACTACAAGGCTCGACCTGAAATCTCCAATATCACTAGGGTGCACAAGGAGCCTAGATCGAGTTCTTTTCCCCCAGGCCTCCCCTCTGTTTTTTTTTTCCGCAAAACTCCCACTGCCTGGTGTTTTCAGCTTGTCTCCCATGACACCTCCAGTGAGAGGGTACACAGTCCACATTAAAACTGCTGCAACTCTTTTAAACGACGAAACGACTCCCCACCCCCTCTTGACGAAATGGCGTTTCTATCTACACCCCCCCCCCCCCTACTAACTTGTTAACAATGGGTGGACTCTCTTGAAAGCTCCATGCAGAGATCCGTGGGGTAACGCAACCCCTCTATTGACGAATAGCGTTTCTATCTTTACCTCCCTCCCCCTCCCCCCACACACACGCACTCTAACCTGTTTACTGTGGGGTGGCCTCTCCTGAAAGCTCCAGAGACCCTAAGGAGAAACTGCCCACAGTAAACCTGCCACAACTCTTTCACTGTCAAAACCCACCCCTCTCTTCACAAAATGGCATTTCTCTCTACACACCCCCTCCTCCCCGCTAACCTGTTTACTATGGGCTGGCCTCTCTTGAAAGCTCCAGAGATCCGTGGGAGTGGAAGTATCCACAGTAACACTGCCGTCACTGCTTCCACTACTAAAACTATTAAGAGAAACTGCGGAGGAATTACTGCTCCCTTCACTTGCGTCTGATCGCCGCCGTTTGCTTTCTCTCTTGGAATCTTTCCTTGTGAATTTATCGACGGTGAAACATTGGATGCCCTTCGTCCAGTCTCCTCGCAAGATGAACCGCTTTCGCTTGCTGTGGTCAAGAAGAGAGGAGTCAGAGTGTTGATAATACAGTCGTGATAGCCTCTTTACATGTTATGTCCCTGATAGTATACAATAAAAACTCGCGAGTAAGAACCTGCATGGTTTGAAAGAGCCTGTTAGGCAAAAATTTGCTAGTTAGGCCCCGTCTATACCTATTACAAGAACCTGTTAAGCCTAAAATTTGAAAAATCTAAAATCTATAAAAAAAATTCTCCACACTTGGGCAAATAAGATAAGTCAACATCCAGAAACGTCTTTGGAGACATAGGTGCCTTATCCCTCTAACTTAAATGTATTGGTATGCAGATTTTATATAAGGAATAAGCTGAAGACCACTGATCAAGTACTCTTAGCTAGTATGTAAAATTTTCCTTCAGAAAATAAGAACCTACATAGCCTCAATTTGCGTTAATTACTATTTATGTAAGAACCTGTTTACGCTAACCTAAAAAAATGCAGGTTCTTACTCGCAGGTTTTTACTGTACTTTAAAAAAATTGACAAAACTACAGATCAGTTCTCCAAGCTCACCTTTTCAAGTCGCCTTTTGGACCCCTGAAATTATAGGGGGTGGGGGTGGGGGTGTGTCTAAAAAAATTCTTAATACTTCACTGAGATTATCATTTTACCGTCTTTTGCCCAAATACGTATCATCAAGTTGAACAAGCACTTAAACTTACTCGACAGAAAAGATGGAACCTTCTACTTTGTTGAGTTCTCTTCCAAACCAGCCGCCCGGCTTGAAATGTAGCACGCTGTAATCTCCTGTTGTGTGATTTGTTATCTCTATTTGACCATACTGAAGTAGAAGAGAAGCAAGACACGTTAGAGAAAGGAACAGTTCCCCTGAACTTTTGCTGGGAAGAAATCGCCGAGGTTTTCTGAAATCAACCTCTGTAAGGTTAGATGCTTTTCAAATGGCTGTGCCACGAGTCATCTGGAGGGGAGGGGTAACAGGGGTTCTAAACCTCCCGCCTCCCGCACCTTGCATTTCCGGCTACCGCCCTTATTCTTGGCTTCCTCTCTGTATCCCATTTTTGACTGCGAAATATTAACTATTACTGTTGCGAATTTTCCCTTATTTCTCCCGCTTCCCGACCTTTTAGACTCCTAACCTCTGCATTTTTCCTCTCCCGCCCCCTATTATACGGGGCTCCCCGCACCAATATCACTTACTTGCTCGATCCAGAGTTGTCCAACAATTATGTTATGTACACAGCTATTCACATTGTTCCACGTGTAGACCTCATTGTGTCTAAGGGAAAAAAAGAATAAAAAACTTGACACAGCTGTCTAAGATCTCTTCATCACACGCTAATTTGCTGCATCAACTGCTGAAATAAGCGAGGACTTGAAGATGGAATCCGATAAAAAAAAGGTCACCCCGTTTAAGAAGGCAATGGGTAACAAGATGGCGAACAAACGAGTGCGCAAATATTTGTTACTTGTCAGCTATACACTGTTGTGTAACCACAATATATTGTATCGTTACCCTTGTATCGCAATCTGTATCGTCTCGTGGGAAAAAATAATACACCATTGCAGCCATAATCATTGTATCGTAATGTCACGATATCTTCCCAGTTATTAGAGCGATTCGGAGTCACGTTTACTGCAAACGGCAAACAGCAAACAGAAATCGTGACAATAAAGTTGAGAATTCATCAAAATAGTAGCAAATGAGCAGATAAAAACAGCTCAAACAATTCTTATCGATAGAACTGGGGTGAATCTACTGATTTTCCGGTAGTTGTAAAAAATCAGTAAGCGACAAGGAAAGGAAAACGTTTGTCACGTGGTACGAACTCAAGTTTGCCGTTTGCCGTAGACGAGACTCTAAATCTCTCAATTTTCTTTACTTCTTTTCGTTACCTAGAATTTAGACTGCAAAACAGTTCGTATTTTTGCGTATTCAAGTACGCGCGAGCAGTCAAACGAAAGGTCTGAAAACAGAGGGCGTGTGAGGCTCGCGCGCTTCGCTCTTAAGACTCTTACGCCACGCTTAACCGATTTCTTTCCTGATTTGGAGAAAAAAACCGACTGTTTTGCAGTCTACCTAGAATTTTAAACAAGAAGTATCCTCTTCTTCTTTAAAAACATCTCAAAGCCAACATCCCTGCATACGTTTGTGGCTGTTCAATCAAACACTCACACTTACTTTGGAAACTTGAGCGTAATCATTCCCTTGGGTTGAATCTCGACTCCTTTTCCCCAGAATTTCAACTTAGGTTGAACGGTGACGTGAAACACAAATCCATCGGCCTCCACTTGTATGGCACTCACCGGGGGGTGATGACTGACCTAAAGTGAACGAAACTACTGTAATGCTGCAACGTTTCAGTTGAAAAAACAGTTGTATACTCCGGACAAAGATACAAGCACTTAAATTTACTTAAATTCATCAACTCCCTCTTGACGTAAAATGTTCCCAGTTTTTGGCCCAAAGGGTTGAAAAGGTCGATTTTATCATATTTTGATGGTTTTAAATTCCTGCACTATCGAACCTTTACAAACAGTTGGAATTCCAAAACGTTTTATCTCAGGGAAACGAATTTTAGGCTAAGTTAAAGGTTTGTTCTGAATCAGAAAAAAAAAACCTAACTGAGCCAAAATTTATCTTCTGGCAGAATAAAAAAAATGGACTTGAGAGTTTTCTGATTGTTAAAAAGGATTTCACCAACCTGTTCTGCAATTAGCTTGAAACCCAAATCCTCCCTAAAAAAGCAACAACAACATAATGATTCATGGGTCGACAGGTCAGAATTTAGGAGAAATAAGAAAATAAAAGGCAAATTTCTCAATACTCACCGAACTAGTTCATAGGTCTCCCCCAGAAGTGGATTAAAAGGCTTTCCTACTCTATCTAGATTAGACGCAGTGGCTGATATAGCAAATGCACAGACGTACTAAAATAATAATAAAAAAATAATGTGAGAACATTCACTACTTTCCTTTGGTACTGTTTATTTGGCCTGCTCCCAATGTATGGGTCGTCATAGTTCACTTGGTTAGGGCACTGAAGCGCTAACGCAAAGGCCATGGGTTCGAACCCCGTTGAAGTCTCGATTTTTTTTTTAGCGGGGAGGGGAGGGGAGGGCGGGTAATTTGCTATTGCTTAAATTGCAATTACCACTGCGACGATCATATCTTCATTTAACATTCACTAAGTAACCATTTAAATGAAACAGCCGACCAAAAATTTTTATGAGGTACTTATTTCTCATGGCTGTGCAAAGTAGCACTACCCACTCTACACACCTGTGGTACTGTTCTTTAAGCTGAACAGGGTGGTTCTAACTTTTGAGTCTGTGGATGAAATCCTATGGTGTTACCATTCAAATGAAACCTCTTCAGCAGTACTTTCACATGGTACTATATATTTAGTATATAGTTCTAACTTTTGAGTCTGTAGATGAAATCCGATGGTGTTACCATTCAAATGAAACCTCTTCAGCAGTACTTTCACATGGTACTATTTATTTAGTATGTAGTTCTAACTTTTGAGCCTGTGGATGAAATCCTATGGTGTTACCGTTTACAGATAAGTTTCTAAACACCACATTAAATTTCTGTAGCACTGTTTTAATTGTTTTGTGCAAGGTTGTTTTATCTTTTGAATCTTTTATTGTTAGCACGAATGACACTAAAGGAAAGAATATTGCATAAGTTATAAGACACCACTTCCTTACGGTAGCTTTTAGGCCGTTAGTAAAAGTAAGTGGTTGCTTGCAATGCTTTGCAAAAGTTAAGCATTTGTTATCTCTTACGTGCTAAGAAGTAAGAACCAATTACCTGCATGCGAAGAAGAGGATCATCTAAACTGGCTGCAGTATGGAGCAGGTAGACATATTCCATGTACTCTGCTACGCGCTGAAGAAACGTTAACGGCTCATTGAAAATAACTGAAAGTTAAAGAACGGTAGGCTTTAAGTGCGCGGCCACATGCATGCTTGGTACAGCTCATTTTTTTGTGCAAATTAAATTATAAATGGAATCCAAGAAATTCATCCACTCAAGAAAGCCGAAATGTTTGACACATTAGCATGCCCGAAGGATGTCATACGTAACACAACGTACAGATAGGATCTCGGGTCTTAACGTAAACTGAACTTAACTTTCAACTGAGGACTGGAGTGAAACCATGAAACCATGAAACCATGTATTTTTGTATCCGTTCACCAAGCGGCGGAATACTGTACTACCTAGAACCGTTAATACTCACCTGGCATTGTAATTCTAGACAAGTCCTGGAAAAAGGAAAAAACAAAGTGAACTATTAAACTAATGGCAGAGCAGTTCTTACAGAGGTCAGGCGAGGAGGGTATATAAGATTCAAGGCTTTGTATCCTCCACCCCCATCACCCCTTCCCCCTCCACCGGGCGCGGCTCCGTGTCTGTGATTGAGATGTGCAAGTGAAACCTTGACGCGACCACATCAAAGATTGCCTCTCAGGTCTCGCTTTAAGCCTCTTGGAGCGACTGGGGATTGAGCCCTTCTTATAGAAATATTTCAAGAAACAGATCTAACTATTAACTGCTCATTTCAAAATCGAAAGCGAACATAGCATGCATTTTGATGGTGTTCAAGAGGACTAGGCAGGAATAAAAGCATCCTAAATTTTGCGCTCTTTTTTTTATGGACAAACAAGGTCATATTTAAGATTATACTGCTTGAACGCTGCTGCGCATGGAATATAGCGCTAAAATACCTTTCCTATACATTGACGCAGGACTGTCCAGACGCTAAACTCGTTTCTTGACAGCATAGCCACAGGAAGAGCAGTTCTAGGAAGAAAAAGAAGAGGATCAACTCAAACCTACAACCATCGTCAAAAGTGTTGGGAAGGCTGCCACTTTTTACCTCTGTTTTTCTTGTTTCCCTCGCCCCTGGCTCAATGTTGAGTAAAACTTGAGTGTTTGTGCGGGTAATTGTTCTTTTATATCCCAACATTGAATAGGGGGGACGGGGGGTAATTAGCAAAAAAGAAAACAATCTGTTTTGAACGTTAAAATTAACTACTATTACGTTGTACAACCTTCCCAACTACTTTTGTCCGAAATTGTAGCATAACCTGAGAACTCCAACCTTTCCTTGATTTTTAAGTTAAAAATCTCGGATTGGCAGGAAAAGGGCTGGAAAAAAAACATGGCAATGTATGTGGCTAAAACTCCTACCTGTAGCGCACTATTCCTTGGGCTTGCTTCTCAGCTTCTTGTTTTCTATACTGCGCTGCAGTCTGTTCCATATCACTAGAAGCCGACTTCACTTTCAACAAACTACCGGTATCACAATCCAGTAAAGTTCTAACGTCCGATTTTGAAGCAATATCAGTATCCGACGTGCTACGCATTAAAGAAAGTCTGTTTAAGTTCCCTAATTGTCCTCCAGATTTCGCTCTTTTCATACTAATACTAGGTTCCGCAACGGCTTCCAAATGATTGCTATGTGTTCCGTCGTTGGCCACGATGGGTGCGGCCTCGCACGGCACGTAGTCGTCACCGTCATCGCTGTCATCGTCCGAGAGCAAGTCGACGTCTAGAGGAGCACATCCGATGTCGGACCTGGCATCGAAGAACTCCTCGTTGCAGTCGCTTGTCAGTGTCATGCGACTTCCGTGGATGTACTAGGGGGAAAAACATAACAATTATCAGTGCAATAGGTAAGTAAAGGCGCAGTCAAGACCCTTAGGCCATCTAGTGATGCATTAGCTTGGAACAACTACGTGCAGCAGTGCAAATAAAAGTTATCAATAACCGACTCAAACTGGCGAGTAGGGAGTGATTAGTGAATCTAGAAACACAAGTAAATTGTTGAACTAACGAAAAAATATTAGTACAGAGAATATATGGCGATAATATGCCTACAGTGTATTTGCGATTCCGTCGTGTACAACGCGCACTGCGTCATGGAATGAGTCCGACCACGTTTTTGTTTTGTCTAATAAATACGGCGACTTAAACCGTCGGACCATTCCCTTTCAAGAATGAGCTAGAGTACCAGTCCACCATGTCTGCCGGCAATGTGTCGCTGGTGCAAATTTATACACCTGACTGGAGAGAAACAAAATCAAGCAAACTGTTTTTGACTTAATGATACCGTAAATTGAAAGACAACATTGTCTTCAAACTGTTTGAATTTGGCGTTTTAACAGAGCGTTTAAAAGAGTCGATTGATGTTTCCTGTCTTATTGGCAGAGGAAGACTGTTCCATAAAAAGGGGGCAGCCATCGATAACGCGCGATCTCCCAAAGTCTTCTTCGTTCTTAGCCGAGGTCTTTCTAACAATATACCATTATTGTTACGGCGTAGTTGGTAACGTGAGTCCGGTAAGACAGAGACAAGATCCTTAAGATAGCTAGGCGCAACACCTTGAAGAATCTTAAATGTAACAGGAGAATCTTAAAATCTACGCGCAAGCGCACTAGTATTCTCTTAGCAAAGGAGTTTACTTAGGTGCGCAGTAAACCAATCGAGCACTGGCATTCAGACTCTTTGAAGTTTCTTAATTTGATACTCAGGAGCATCGTACAATAAACCATTACAGTAGTCAAGCCTGCTTGTGATGAACGTGTGAACAAGCCTCTCGGTGGACTTACGAGACAAATACTTCCTAATGTGCCGGATATTGTACAAATAATAAAACGCGCTAGCAAAGTTTACGACATGATCGACAAAGGGGAGATGAGAATCGAACCAGGAGACGGTTGCACTGAAGAGATGATACTCAAGCGCGCAGTAATACAAAAAGGACTTCGTATTGTCGTTAGGGTTCGAACATTTAACTTTTGAGGGGGGGCGGGGTATGGATGATTTGGTTTGGGTAAGAATTCAGCAACAAAAGGAGCGAGTAAAATCGAGCACTTATCAAAAAGGATCATTTAACATTCATACCGTATCTCCCTTTAAATGAATGTACCGAGAGGCTAATCTTCTCAAAACACTAATTATAATAGGCCACTTCCCAAGTGCACAACCTTTCTTGTGAAAATGAGTTTTATTTGCATGAGGATGACAAATCATTTCCATGTTAAAGGCTTAGCACTTAACCTCGTTTTGATACAGAGGCCCGTGGGAACTCGGACATGGCACATTGTGAGAATGTTTGATTTTTGGGGGAATCTCTCTGTTACCTCGTGAGCTCCAATGGAACACTCTAAGGCGTGGTGCTCTGTGGCAAGCACATGTAGTGCATCTTCAAGAACTCGCCGCTTCTCCACCTCCTCTTCAAATCTAAGATCTCGCACCTGAGAAACAAACGCGGAACAGAATTTGCAAACTGAAACACTTTTTTGCAGAACCTGCGCATGGTTTGCGCGAAGCATGCTTCTGTATAATGCACAGGACGTCAGCCGAGATACTTATAGTAATAACAAAAGCAAGTATCACGAGGGTTACGTTTGCTTTCTCGCTCTGTTTCCCTTCGGAACGTGTTGTTCTTAAGACAAATATTCCTAGTAAAATGCTTAAGGATTTAGTGACAAAGGCAATAGAAACGGAGACAGAAGGGGTTAGAAGAGAAGTTTTGGAGAAAGGAAAGAAAAGTAAAAAAATAAATATAAAAGAAATCTCGTTCCTTACAAGATGCGTATTCAAAGGCCAATGAAAATAGAGCTTTCTGAGAGCTTCGTGGCTCAAAAAAACTATAATTCAAGAAATGAAGTTTTTTCAGATTCAACTTACCTCTTCCTGCTGCGAGAGAAGATCTAAGCAGTGAGTGAGCGCGTTACACATGTTCCTTGCAGTGGCTACTACCTCGTTCAGTTTTTCACTGATCTTCAGTAAACTCCCTGTAGCAAAAACACGCAACATGATGACTACGAAAATGACTAAGATGACTGAAGTGCATCTCCTGTATATTATGGAAAGTAATTCATTTTCTTTGAATTAACATAGCTACAAGACGCCTGTCATTGACTGTATATGTCACGCAATACTTATTCAAGAAGTCAAAAAAGCAAAAACCAGGTCAGCACGTTGAAGCTGAGGCTGCCTTGTGTTCTTTGTAAAGTTCAGTGGACTCATTCCCTAGATCTGCCAATGATATCACGAGAATCAGCAGAGCGCGAAAAAAGTTTGAATTCCAGCTTGTCTAGCTTTATCCTATGGGCAAGTAGCCTGTTCGAAGCTCCGAGATAGTATCTGAGAGCCTGAACAATGTTGGAACAGGCTATTGGGAAAGCATCTCTCGCATTTTGCCTCCACAGGGCCACTGCCTACTTGCCTTAGTTAATGATTTTGTTACCAGATGACCTACCCGGACGCTCACCTGTTGGACAAATGAGGTGAAAACGTTACTTGCCAAAAAAGAAAATCTCCTTGCCCTGGATGACCGGACAGCACTTTTTTCGAGGCCCGGACTGGGAGTGTACAATGGTTGAACGAGCACAAAAACATCTTACCCTTGGTGTTGGACTGCGTGGAAGATGAGCTTGAAAAATCAGCGATTACATGGGTAACTCCACTGACTTGCTGGTCTAAAAGCTGCTGATGGGCCCGAGCACTCTGGAATGCAAGCAAATAGCAACATTACTTCTCACACACAAAAGAGAAGAGAAGAAATAAGAACATGCAAAGAGGATCCTCGAAGTTAAAGACATGACTAATACAGTAGCGAAAAAAAAAAGCCTGAAAAAATTCAACCAGAGAGTTCAACCATCTGCAGTTGTTTTTCAGAGAAGGGAAGTGACGACATCACAAAAACTAAATTTTGTGCAATTATGGGATTCGTTGGCATATAAAATTCCGAAAATAAGCCCCTCCAAGTATATAAGCCCCCAAACCGGGAACGCAAAAAACCCTCCGTTAAATCGCCCCTCCAAATATAAGCCCCCCGAGGTTTGTACTTGGAAAATTACCCTCAAATACAAAATGAAACAAAGGCAAAAACGGTAAATTTACCTGCAACTATAAGGCTAGCCCAATCGATTTTGAAACGCAAATTTCCCTCCGTAGATAAGCCTCTCCGAAAAATAAGCCCCACCAAAAATAAGCCCCTTAAAACGGGCCTTTGAAAAATATAAGCCTCAGCGCTTATTTTCGGAATTTTACGGTATCTAGAAATAACAATAATTGAGCCTGTTGGTGCAAATTGGTGGGAAGATGTAAGCACCGTTATGATCCGATGACTCCATATAATGTCCTTCTAAAATAGGCCTGGCTTGTACACGTTACTAGTACGAGTTGGGGACCCCTTAATATCACATTAATACACTACTCTGACTTACATACCACTCCCCTCCCCCCACCCCAGGAAAATTGTACTATGATAATTAGCACTCATCTTGAGGGAGTCGTGCGTGTTTCCAAGTGGAACCGTGGTATTCAACAAAGAGCTAATTACCGGCCAGTATCACAGTAATAGACTATTTGAGTGGAGGACGAGGACGAGATTTGACTTCAAGTTCTTTCGGGTATTCTCATAAAATGGACACCACGGAAAGCTTTATTGCACTTTTTTCTTCTCCAGAAGGGCCCGTTAGCACGGTTATTTTTATTGAAAGAGGTTAAGGTCTCTCCCGATCACAAAATCATAAAAATTCTAACATTTGATAACTTGTTTCCGTCACTACAACGTTTTTGCTAAACTCGTAGTAGCATGACAATGGCTATCACGTTTTCCCGCCAAATTCACGCACGCGCACTACTTAGTATAACTGAGACAATCTTGTTCTAGTAATTGTCCGCGTCCAAGAATCTACAGGCCCCGGTTGTTCAAACGTTGGATAGCGCTATCCACCGGATAAATCACTATCACTATCACTTACGGAAATCAATTACGCTATCCGCTGGATAGTGTTTATCCGCATAGCGCTATCCAACGTTAAAACAACCGGGGCCTGGGGCCCGTTTCTCGAAAGTCCCGGTAACTTTTCGGGCCCGAAATCAAATATTCAAATCGAAATATAAAGAATAAGAGAGGCTAGCAAACTCCATTTTGTTTCTAACTGATAGTTTTATCATGCGCGTCTTTTTGAAACCTCGATCTTTAATGTAAACGGAGACAGCTTACCGGGCCCGTTAATTATCGGGACTTTCGAGAAACGGGCCCCTGGTCTATAACATTACAAACTACTGGGCAGCCTTCATAATTATCCTATAATAAGCACTCACCTTAAGGGAATCTCGCATGTTTCCAAGTGGAATAACATCTTGTTCGTTATCATCAATCAACAGTGTTGGCTGAGTCGTGTAAAATGTACTGTAAGCACAGTGTTCATGAAGAGAGTTCAACCATCGCTGAAATACAAAATGATTACAAAAGTCACACACTTTAACGACTACCTTTCTTTTGGCTTGTTAAACTACAGGCGTGAGAAATAAACTTGGGCTCTGTGAACTAAGTTTTCAACGTACAATCAGACGACTGCCACGTGGAAGGCTTTCAAGGCTGTCAGCAAACATTTTAACAACAAAATTTGTTATGACAAAAGTGGATAAAACGATTATTGGTAGCTTTCAGTAAAAGAAAAACTTAAAATCAAAACACTGCGACAGAAAACAGTTAGATAGCGTGACATGCTTTGCATTATTATCAAACAACCAAATAGATTAACTTGAAAAATTCCAAACAATGTTTTCTTTAGTCAAGCTTCATATAGCCTTCAAACGCGCCGCCTTTCCTTGCTCCTCGTCCATCGCAGCGATGAAAGACAGATGTATTAGCGGGCTAAGTACATGAATATATAATGAACCTGTTACAGACCTGTCTCTGCACTTGTGGAGCTTTTTCACTGGTGGGGATACTCCAGATGTGAACAGTGTTGTCTGAATAATGGATTTTAATTTTGTGTCTTTCATCTCTAGGAACCTTTAACAACAACAAAATATAATGTTAAGACAGGCACTTTTCTCAGAATAATGGCGGCAAAGAACGGTTTTTAATTTTGTGTGGTTTCCATCTTCGAGGAGGACAAGGAAGAACAAATAAACCCTTGGGGTAAAATTTGAATTTAGTTAAAGACAGGCGACACTTTTCTTAGTCTCCTACAATGCCATTTTACATGGTCATCCGAGCCATGTGAAGGACTACCAGTTTGCAGGGCAAAGGCAGTACCTTCATTTCTCAGTTATTTTAAGATCCTGAGTATTAGTCCGGCCCTGGGAATCAAACCCGCAGCCTCCCGCTCTGCAGTCAAGCGCTGTACTGACCGAGTTAATCCTGCCGCGGGTAGGCTTTAAGACCTTCCCCATTTGACTTGCTCCAACTCCTCAATTTTTAGGGAATTCAACATGGCGATTACATTAGCAGACACATCAATCCACCCAAAAAATGTTTGTAATGCACGCGAGTAGAATATGTTTTTACCTTTATGGGATTTGGCAGCACCCAACACCAGGGCTGTTGCTAAGATTTCAAGTTGCTGGGTATAAGAAATGAGCAGGTGGGGAATTGAACAGAGCTAGGAAGTTTTTTGGGTTTTATTTTCCTTTTGTTTCCTTTAAAAGTAGCCAGGGGTTATACTCATAGTAGCCGGGAGATCTCAGAGCATTTTACATTTTTTGTACATCACTGCCCTTTACTGCTAACAGTTTCAGGTATTTTTAAGGTTTGAAAATAGGAAATGGGAATTTGGTGGTGAGTGCACTGAAAAGAACAGTTGTGCAGTTGTGTACAGGTGTGCAATAGGTCCTTGGATCATTATTAGAGCGTGGAGTTATGAATGTATAACACTGCAGTGAAACAATCACAAAGATAGGTGAACTCACTAAAAATTTACAGCGGTCAAGGTATTTATACCCCTGCCTTTTGATACTAGCAGCAGCATCAGCTCTGAAAAACAAATGAAAAAATAAGGTATAATAATAGCATATAATATGAAATAGAGAAACAGGAACAAGACAGTATATAGAGGATATTACACGGTGGCGCGAAGATATGAATTTTATTTTCGAGTGGCAAAACAATATTTTACGAACGAGCGCAGCAAGTGAGTAAAATATTGTTTTTGCCACGAGAAAATAAAATTCATATCTTCAAGCCGCCATGTAATGTTCTTTTTATTATATAGACAAAAAGACATTGATAAAATAATAGAGGGAATGACCGACATTACGTCATCGATAAACTCACGTGTGAGATTATGGAAAATAAACCACTCGGGTCCAGGATGTAGTTTTTATGAATTTTACGAGTGGCATATTTTCCAGTAAAACACTCGTGTCTATATAATAAATTCATTTTAAATACCTTTTGTTAAAATAGCTAAGAACACCTCTTTCTAACACCACCCAAAATTTCTTCCAACCAAAAAATCGTGAGCGCTAGATAGAAAATAAAAAGAAATGGTCACTTGTTAGAACAGATACATTAGTCAGTACTATGTCTATTAAAGAGCAGGATTTTTTTGTTAAGGTTAAGAGCACTAGTTTGCCTTGTTTACTACTTGATGAAGAGTTAAACCCCCAAAAATCAATAAGCATCTCTGAATAACTGACACACACTAGACAAATAAATAATTAAAGGTAAATAATAAGTTGCACTGGATTCACTTTTTGTCTCGCAATGATGGTCCCCTAGAAACTGCTGTAGCATGCTAAAACAATACATTACATGTAATATGCAGTAATGGTATTCACATATAACTGATGTCGAAATTCCTGAAACAAAACGTTTTATTCCCAAGGGGTTTGAATTGGGTACAACATTGAGTTAGCCGAATAGGTCAATGGCAGTCTCCACTTTCTTTCTGGATTGCAGTTCCCTTTGCTGAGATAATTATAAACTTGTTCTGTCAAGTCATAACCTATGCAAAAAAATATATTCATCATTGTTTTAAAACCTGAGTTTCTCAGGAAAATCTTACCTTGAGTAGAAGGCCCTCGTGCCTGGTTACAACTTTGTGAAGTTTCTTTGAGAAAAACCAAAGAGATAGAAAACCATGAGACATTTTTAGCAAAGTTTCTACCAATACTGAGACATGGACCAAAATATACATGGTTGAACCATGTTCTTTTTATTGATGCTCTTTGCTTGAATTATGCATAAAAAGAGAAAACAAAAAACAAAAAAAATTAACCTGTAGTGGTTGAACATCCAAAAGTTGTTTCATTTTCTTGTTGGCTGATAGGTCCAAAGCTGTTTGTCCTAAGAGTGGAAAACAATGCAGTCTATTACTAACAGTAATTAAAACTACAGTAGGTATACATATCATAAACTAAACAAGTAAAGCATGTGCATGAAATAAATTTTAGTTGGAAAGAAAAATACAACAACAACAAAAGACACATCCATTGTGTACAGCTAGGTCAGCTCATTAAAGATAAGTGCCAAGCAATGCAAGTACAAAATGCAACGGCAATATTTGCATATGAATTCACTACTGTTCTTTATTGGGACTTTAGCATATAGAGTGAAGTAAGAGAAATACACTGGCTGTTCTACAGTGTATCAGCACAGTTTTATACAGCCTTATATCATTACTATTGCCATTATCACATTTACCACTTCACCTTTAACATTGTCACTTACTATCTTTAGACAATTCTTGAAGAAATTTAATAATGTCACGTGTAACATTGTTTTGCAAAAATTTAATATAATCAAAATGTTGAGCTTACCACTGCTGTTTTTGATAGTTGTATCTGCTCCATGTTGTAAAAGAGTAACTGCAATTACTTTATGTCCCCTAAATTAAAGAGAAAAAAAAACAGAAATAAAGTACTGCACTGAGAGCTGTCATCAAAGGCTGGCCAAAGGTGGCTACAAAGTACATGAACTCCAGCTACTTAAGTTGTTGGGAAAAACTGTAGAAGGAAAATGAAACCAAAGAAATCCCTAGCTGTTTGATTCACCACCTACTTGTTGTATTTACTCAGCATAACTTCAAATCATAGTGACAACTTTGAGTTCTGAGGGATCTGGCACAGTTTGTTCACTATAAATAGGTTTTGTGATATCAGGGTTCTTTTCCTTAGAATTATTTCACCATTACTGAGGTAAAGAAAAAATCATTTATTACACCAAGGAGTTTGTTATTTAGAGGTACGCCATATTGAGGCTCTACTGTATTTTGCTACTATAATTATGTGTACAAGTTGTGGTTCAATTTTATCCTTGGTTTAAATTTCATTTCCCTTTGTTTTAGGTTATGGTTATGTATGGTAATGAGTCTAAAACAAAGGAAAATAAAATTTAAACCAAGGATAAAATTGAACCAGAACATGTAAACATATGACATAATCTGAACCCTAAGAAGAGGGCCTATCCATAATCATATCTCATTTCTTACTAGAATGAAGCCTAGAGGATATTAAAATAATGTCTTCTATCCTCATACAAAGTCTGTAATCTTATGTTTTCATGGGGCTGCTTACCTATAGGCAGCACAGTGGAGTGGAGTGTTTCCTACCATGTCTTGACAGTTGATGTTAGGAGGGTGAACACTGTCCATCTGCAACGACAAAGGTAAGGCAAGGCAAATTGGCCATTAGTGTACATGTATAGTTTCTGCATACACTGTGCCAGGCCATGATGGCATTAACAGTATTTTACAATTAAATGAAATTTAAACTTGTACAAAATACAAAAATATTGTCGTTGAATGAGACAGGAGGAAAATAGCTAATATAAATTAAACCAACCAGTTTTTTAAGCTCGCTGTTGTCACCTTCCCTGGCAGCTGTGAGCAAACGTTCTTCTAACCTGAGCTGGAGGCTTCTTTCAGCAGCTGACAAAACAAAAGTGCCATTAAAGACACTGGACTGTGAAATCTGCATGATAATTTCTTACAAATAACATATACGTAGGGGTAATAGCATGATTTGTAGTGATATTTGGCATAAATACCACATATATTTCAAAATTTAAAGAATTTCACAAAAAAGGCAAAAATTTGGAAACAATTTTGAAATATCAAGTCCCAACCATGCTAACTATTTTTTAGAATTCCCCCACAAAAGGTTGGGACTTTTCTCACATGTAAATATTTTTGGGGTTAAGCTTTAAATACCACTGCTCTAAACCGATCAAATTGCAGAAATTTCTCATGTAATAGTATAAACATTGATATAGCATGCTGTCATGATATAAATTTAACAGAATTAAGATAAATCATTATCCAGTGGATAAGTATTAGGGAAACCAATAATTTCCACTATCCAGCATAACAGTCATAGAGATTTATCCGGTGGATAGCACTAGCCACCTTTTCAACAACTAGGGCCAGGTTTCTAGTCCCAATGCGCCACCGCTGAGGTATAGGAGACTGGTGGGATCAAAGGCCACTAAACTAGGATTCTTCTGAGCTGGCTGTGTCACTTAGGGGAAAAAAAAACATCTTTATCATGCCCAGTATTATCTAAGCACCAACAGGTTTACAAGTAACAAAAACCCACCTTTGATGAGTTGTTTAACCTCTGTACTGTTTGTAACTTGACTTGGTTTCCTCCCTTCCCCATTTATGATTGTCACATCAGCGTTGTATTGAATAAGCAGCGTAACAACATCCTAAAAGAGTTTAGTTGGTAAAGACTCATTTTGTACTTAAGAAGAGGCTATATATGCCATGCCAAATTCCATATTTTGCATTGCATCTGCTTTGAGATTATTAAGTTCTGAGTAATTTTTTTCCTACTATTAACTCGTTAAAGGTTGATATCCAGGGTTGTCACTAAGATTTCAAGTTGCCGGGTAAATACAACAAGTAGGCGGGGAATCAAACAGCTAGGGATTTCTTTTGGTTCTATTTTTCTTCTATTTTCCAATAAAAGTAGCCGGGGGCCACTCTCTTAGTAGCCGGGGAAAATCCCCGGCCCCCAGCTCTTAATGACAACCCTGATATCAAATGATTCTATCAAAGGGAAAGCATGGCATAGTTTTTGGTCATTTTTGGACAACATAGAAGTGGAGAATTTGTAACAACAATTACCACAACAACAACAACAACAAAAACAAAATCACAGAACATCTATACAGTCAAGTGTATAGATGTATTCTCCAAATAAGTGTACCTTATTTAGAATAGTTTTGTTTTTTACAAGGTGCTATATTCCAAATAAAATGGGGAAACTACATAATATTCAAATGTTCAGTAGCACACAAAAATTTATAATTAATTAAAGAATTATTTATCAAAAACATTAGATGTCAGAATAGAATGTAACATATATTATTTCTCAATTCATCTCTTTCTTTCACCTAGTTCCCTCCACACAGCAATAAAACGTATCATCATTATCATCATCATCATCATCAAACACTTACAGCTCTTCCAGTGAAAGCGGCACGGTGTAATGGAGTATCTCCCATTCCATTCCTGGAATTAACATCCGCTCCATTCTAAAAAGAACATAATTAAAAAAGAGTATAAAACCATATAGCTTTCAATGGAGGCTTCTTGTCAATGGCTGATGTTCTGGAAAACCAGGATATTCATATACAGATAACCTAACTCTGTAACACTATCACAAGCTACCAGTTATTTGTAAGGAGCAAACAAAAAACTGAAATTGAATTGAATTGAATTGAAACAGATAACAAAGAAATTAGTATGAAAAAAAAAGGAATGAAGTCTTCCCCTGAATTTCACTCTCACTATTCGCTTCTGTCAGTGTGACAAAGTGGAAGCTGTCTGAAACAGGCTGACAATAATAAAAAAAAATATTTTGGAGGTACCATTAAGTCCAAAGAGACAGCTGGATTGTTTATTAACTCCATTAATGAGCTTCCTTAGCTTGTTCCTAGCTTCAATCATCCCATAAGTGAATCAACTCAGTTAGCTTAACCTGCTTAACCTGTTAACTGACTACATGGTATGATATGTGTACTTATAATAATATTTATGCACACTGACAATGAGCACCTTAGGCAATACAGTAAGTTTAGCTCTAAAGGCAGAAAAGGGGAGAAGCTACTTTACTTGTCTTTTTTATCTTTTTTGGAAGTCTTCTGGATTGGTTAAGAAAATGACAAATTTTTTACATACTAACCCCTTAACCCTTTAAGCCCCAATATCTACATACAAATTCTCCACACCGATATTCATACATTTCCTTATCTAGAGATGAGGGAGTTTAATAAAAGATCAAAGCATTTTCTCTTTAGTGATCATTTGATTAATTCTTGTACCCATTTCTCTTGACAATATTAGGATATTGTTAGGAGAAACCTGATGTTGGTCACCATTGGGACTTTTCTCCAATAGGGGGTAAGGCAATGGCACCTTGTGTTGCTAGCAGTTCAACTGTTGTTACAGGTTTGCTTGCCAGTTTGTGCTTTGGTTTTTTCCCTCCCTCCCTCTTGGTAGGGGCTAAAACTTGGTAAGTATTTTTCCTGGTAGGAACCATCCTCATGCTAGAGCATTGCCCGGCCCACCAACTTTGTAGGCACCAATGCCCAAGCTCATCTATTGGTTGAGTTTAGCAAAGGGTTAACTGGGGCTCCTTTTAGGAAAACTTGGTTTTTATAGAAACCATATGCCTCAGATCCTTTTAGTTTCTCTTAGAGCAATGCCTTGATATTGTCTAATTTACACACCTCCAATAAGACCTGTACAACATTCTTATGACCAAAATAAGCTGCCAGATGAAGAGGAGTCCATCCTTGGTTGGATTTGGATTTCCCTAGAGACAAAACAGAGAATCTCACTGTCTCAGAGAATGAACTTGATTCTTTCTCCATAATTGATTGGCTAATTTTTGCTTCACTCCCTTTTTCTAGCATGCTGTCAGAGCATAAGAAGTTACTTTGCACAACAAAAAAATCGGTTTGTCCTGGACAACCAGATGGGCCTTTTTTAAACCCTGTTTCTCTCCCTTTTTTTTGTTCCTGCTAAATTTCTTTCCCTATATCTTCTAGTTTAAACTATGCAATGTGAAATTCTTTAATTTTCTATCATTTATAGTTGATTCTGTATTCCGTATTCCCTTTCTGTTTCTGTGATTCCATTTCCGGATTCCAGATTCCATGCTGCCATTCTCTCCAGGTTTCCCCACTTTCTTTGTCAGTTGCAACATTCTATTTAAAGGTTTCCATTAATTTTGCTCCCCTTTTCTGGTATTTTCACTTGTGGATCACAACCTTTTCACAGGCTTTCATCCCTTTCCTAGTTTCTTAAAAGCCCTAGTTCCTGCCTGGCACACACCCCTGCAGCTTTTTTCTTTTTCACTGGTTTCTTCCTTTTAAAAATTTTCTGCCCTAAAATGGGTGGACCGGAAGCTCTCAGAACTGCTCACAGGATTGGTTTAGAACACAATAGATAGCCCTAACCCAAACAAAACTGACAATGAACCCCAACTCTAAAACAATAGAGCTTCGGGCGAACAAGAACCTATCAAATTACAGGTTCTAAAGAGGTTCTGGCCAACAGTCTAGAATACCCCCCTAACCCTTTTTTGGTACTCTCTCTAAGTACACACCCCTTTGCTTCTGATACATATGCTTTTCTCTCCTTGGAGACACCTCCCTCCCCTCTTCTTCCTCTACTCATGTCTCTTTCATTCCATTTGCTACCTCCCTTCCTCATGTGGTTCCTACTTTTCTACCTCATAAAGAAGTAACAAAATCAATACCTTTGCAGTTTACATCAATTCTCTTGGAATTACTCTTGGATGTCTTAGCTTGTAACAGGTTCTACAAAACAGACCGAAGGTAAAAAAAAATGTCATTCATTTGATGCTTCTGTCAGTTGAAGGTAGCACAGAAGATGGGACCAGCGTTTGCCTGTAAACGCAATGACACATGCCACTAAAACTTGGCCATTATAAACGCTGACTTTTTTATTTTATAATTGTATTTGTATAGGTAATAGCATGATTTGTAGTGATATTTGGCATGAATACCATGAGTGATATTTCGAAATTGTTATACGTAATTTCACGAGCCATTAGGCGAGTGAGATTTGAGACAATTTTGAAATATCACCAGGGTTCTCAATAGAAGGCGGCACCCGGCGATTGATCGTCGCTTACTTTGGGATTTATAACCGCTTACTTTGTGTTTAAGTCGCTTTTCTTTGCTTTGTTTTGACACCTCTGGCTTTGCTGAAGAGCCTCCTACTTTATCAGTGATCACCTCCTACTTAAAAATCTATTGAGAACCCTGTATCACGAGTGGTATTTATGCCAAATATCACGCACAAATCATGCTATTATTTGTTTATACTACTACCCGCAAAAGCTTTGTAATTTTCACATGTAGGTATTTCAAATTAAGCTGAAATACCACTGCTCTAAGCCAATCAAATTGCAGTAATTTTTCATATAGTAGTATAATAACTGGAATTGTTTGGCAATTTCAAGCTTTTCTGATTCACAATGAGAATTGGAGGTTAAGTTATAAGACCATGAGATGATAACCTGAGCTGTGAGATGGTGAGAGTTTGCAGAATGCTGAATGCCGAATGCAGAATGCAAATGATACTGAAGTTTAGTGATTAGGGTTAGGAAACTGAGTGAATCAAGTTTCAGGTCCGTTTTTCTGGTATAATGTCACCTTAAATGGAACCTGATTTACTCATTTTAATTTTTAACCCTAATCACCAAACTTTACAGACATTCGGCATTTGGCGGCCACTCGGCATTCTGCAAAGTACCCCTGCCAGATCTCACCATCTGTCAAAGTGTTTGATGAACCAAAAACTGAATTTAGATGCACATATACTAAAATAAAACAATACACAAGAGAATTCTAATTAAAATTCTACTCAAAAACTCCCTTTCACATCCAAAAGAGTAAATATAAAATAACTATAAAGATAACTACGTTTGTATTATTTTTTTATGTCATCATTGTAGTCCAAAACTTCTTTAACAGTGCTTCTTTTTTATAAGAGCATGCAATAAATCCACAACAGCACAATACTATTATGCTAATTTGTGCCAAAGACCTATATAAATACCGACTTACGGAGGATCAGTCCTCAGTTGTAAGTTGATTTGTAAAAGAATCGGGCTCATTATTTACAAGATATAATTTCAGTGACCTTGTAAGGAAGTGAATAATGTTATAAGTTTCAACGCAGTTGTTTTTTTCTCTCTACAAGCTGATCGAAAGCAACAAAAAATTCGGGCAAACATGAGGGAAATCTTCAAGTCAGAACAGTGATTAACCCGTGATCTTCTCGCTCTATCTTACCATAGGAACAACGTTTTTTTCTCCTTTTAAAATGAATGGTTTTATTTGGGAAACAATCCTCAAAGAGAATGATAAAAAGGCATTCACAGTTTCCGGTAAAACAAAGGTACATGTACGTGTGCTTATATTTTGCAGACATTTCACTGACGCTGAAGCAAAACATCAAGACAGTTGTAATTGTTATTAGCGTAGAAAGTATGAGGCGTTGTAAATGGCATTGTTGTGATAAATCTTTAAAATATTTAAAAATGCGATGCCGTGTTTTCAAATTCCTGGGAGGTCTGGCCTGTGATTTCTTAACAAAAAAAAAAAACATAGTATTGTTTGCTACTTACAACCACTGTGTCGATGTCTCCCCTTCGAGAAGACTGCAAAAGTTTCTCTTCATATTCCTCCCTCTTGTTCGAGCTAGACATCCCTCTTTTCACTCACAGAATAATTCTTTCATCGTTATCTTTCCATAACTGTTGTTTTAAGCGAAAATTTGCTTTTAAAGGCCGCAAATGTACACAATTTTTCTCTCATTCTCCGCTTCAAAACTGCCCCGTAAGCTTGCAGAAGGTTCTAGTGCCCAAGCCCTTTCTGTGCTATAGCCCAGTCCTTGACGGACGAACACAAAACGTGATCCAATATGGCGTCGTTGCGATTATCTGTGGTTTCAAGACGGCTGATTTCGTCTCCCTTTTTGCAGCTAAGGACGATGACAGTTGGAGAAAAAGGAAGCGGAGTCGGAAAGGTGAGAATCTTATTTTCTTTTCGCGTTTTTCTTGTGTTTAATATGGATGTTACATAAACTAGTACTTAAAATGTCTATGCATCTCAACGCAAATTTGTTGTCAGTACTGTACACGTCCTTCCAGGAGGAACGTTTTTTTTTTCGTCAAAAACTTCTTGATTGACTTAAAAGTAAGTTTATTTAGTCACTTGCGGACATTTTCTTTTGTTCGAAAGGAAACTGGCGGTGGATTAAGCTCAATATTGTACAAAAATCACGTTTCGTCTACGAAATATTGAAATACAGGCTTCTATCTATCTGCATGTTTCAAAGGATTGCTTTAATACCCTTTAACATTTCCCTTTGGTCTAAAAGGTACTGTGATATTCGTGTGTTTTTTGCCGTAATTACATAATGAAAATGATAATGAACAAAGGAGGTAATTGTAGTAGTAACGTTATGTTGCGTGTGTGAGCCTGTCATGTGTGGGCGGCAGTATTGCAATGGTCATTCCGACCACCTAATATCCGCACCCCCCACTGATGACAAACTGTGAGTCATGATAAGTTTACTTCCTAAGAAAATAATCTCAAAGATATATGTTGTGTTAACGTTGGGTTTACGGTCAAGTTGCAGGAAAGTAATCTCGTGTGAAGTTAGAAACGATGAATTATTTTATTACAGTACTTTTCCTAAAATTTTATCATGCTCAACAGTGTTATGAAGCAAGAGTGTAGCGTGATTGTGAGATGGCGTGATTTTATTCCTTTGATTTTGTTATTAATAGTTTCACTCGTCTGTCAGAGCGACAGAGAACTTGATGACAGATCGCATTAAAATCTAAAGCTTATAGATTCAAGAAAGTCACGATTTTGTGTGTTTGTGAGCGAGCCGTTGTACTGTGAGGATCGAAGCTGTCAAATAAACCCTATTTTGCTTTAAAACTGTGATATCGTGAAGAACGGCCCTTCGGCATTCACGACAACAGCATCGCAACATCTTTATCGCTCTTGTTTTGTGTCATCAAATCTTAAAGAACAGGATAATAATATTATTTATTTATTGCTCTTGTTTCGTTTCATCATTGCCAATATAATTCAGACAAATTGGTCACCAATGGTGCCTAACCCTGACCCCAAACAATACTGAAACAATATTGAAAGAATGACATGTCTTTGTTTTCTGCAACCAATCAAAAGAGAGCTAACGAGCAGCTCCTACAGAGCTGGACGAATCAGACGTGGATACATTATGTAAAAAGAACTTATTCCCAGAAATGCATAATTTTAGCACTTGGCCACTTGCTTTACATTTCTAAATAAATAAAAAGTACGTAAAGGACCTTATTTACATGTAAATGCTAGCAGTTTTAAGCCCGACAAAACTAACAGGGGACGTGTAAAATAATAGACAATTTGCTGAAGCATGGAGAGTTGACTGTATGCTCGACGCTTTTTTATTTGCATGCATCCCTGTTTAGTTGAGAGAAAGTCTAGGAATATAACAATGTAAATAATTTGCACTGCTAAGCATTGTAGACCATCGAACATCACAAAAATGAATCGAGTCCAACTAATTAAGTCTGATGTCTGAATCAACTATTGATTTATCGTATATTAACTTGGTCGACCTAAATAGATATAGAGTTCAGTACATGAAGAGTTTGACATTAAGAGTGGGCCTCATATATTCACCGGGCTCAAAATTCACCATGTGTAATGTTAAGTGGTTTTTTACTTTTTTTAGGGTGGTGGTGCAGGAGGAGATATCAGGTAGGTAAACTAAACTCCTTAAATGTTAGTTATGGTCAACAGGCTACACTCCAATCATTCATTGTACTTACTGGTGCACTGTATACATGGCGTAGAGGTTTGAGAGGAAAAAGTCCATCTTTTTTTTTAATTTGCTAATAATATTATTGTTGTTAGTTATTATTTAGTATAAAACTTTACAGTAGCGTAAAATAACTAGAACTAGCTTACAGCTTATGGCATAAAAATATGTTTCCAAGCATAGACAAAGTTGCAAATAACTTAATGAACTTTCAAAAACTGAAAGACTGAACAGTTTTCAGTCACCCCAGTTAGAAACGTTTCTGTAGTTGTGTTTGTCTGGGCCTTTTTGTTTATTTCCTGGGTTATTTAAGTGTTTCTTCTCTGTTTTAATCCATTCTCTCTTGGGAAGTTTGCCAACAATTGCATTTTGAAGCCAGTAAAGCTGTTTTCTGTCCCCTGTTGTGTATGTATTTGCCCCGGGGTGGGGAGGGGGGGAGGGGTAACTCTTAATTTCAAGTGGTGGGAATGGTCGAAAGGTTGAAAAAATGAAAACCCCAAAAATCCCTAGACCAAAATTAAATTGCCCAAAAATAAAATCAAAGTCAAATTTCCGAGCCTTCAAAATTCCAGATAGCATTAAAATGATGTAACACAAAAAGTAAGGTAGAATTTGAATGTTTGTGTTTGCAGGCCGGATTCTCCAGCAGTACCAACAATCTTCACATTGTTTTGAATACCCAAAAATTTCCCTACTTAAGCCAAGCCACCAAAAAAATACTTACCAAATTTTCCTACACAAAAAAAATTCTGGAGTAAAGAAAGATACTACACGATATATAAAAACAATCTTAAAGAACGCTCAAAACTTCTAAGATTTCCCGCCCCAACCATCAAGTCAGGTAAATAGTTCCATTCTTTAACAATGATTCATATTAATTATTCTTACAAAAATGAGTATTCATAACAGTTATAGTTACATTGTACATGTAGCTCCCTTTTCTTTTAAAAGCTAACCATGTTTTAAACATTTTGTGACAATAGTATTGAAATAAATTATTATTATTATCATCAGGAGTGCTGGAGGAGCATTTGGGAAAATGGAGCATGCCCATGAGGAACAGTACTTCAGAAAATTGGTAGGACTGATCATGAAAATAATATTTAAGCTTAAAGATTTTTTTTTTCACAACATCATATTAAAGAGAGGATTAACATTAGCATGGGCCGATAAATTTACAGGTGTACATGTGTACCTTGTCACTTGAGATGGAAACAGAATACTTGGCACATATGTTTTATTCTGGGAACCAGATAATTTTAGGTTTGTCTGTAAACACCATCTGTATGTCTGGATACAAGAAAATGCTGCATCTTGTGTTTAAAATTATTACTCAAAAGAAGCATATATATTATTCCAAAATGGTGGCAATAAAAAAATAAATACTTTTCTTTTATTCCTTCACATTAATTAGCTCTCTTTGCCTAAATAGTATCTTCAGAATTCAAAAGAGCATATACAGTTAACTTCCTCTTATACATTGTAAGAACCCCCAGTTATGGGCCCATCTTCTGGTAAACAAAAAAATAAATCAGGTTATAACTCCCCCTTCCCTCCCCACTCCAGTTTACAACTATTGAAGTGAGGTTGGTTTTTTATGACAGTTTAAAGCTAAAAAAAAGCAAGAAAATTTTAAAAAAATTGTGATCAGCTCTACTATTAATTTTAGCTTGTTTTGAAACTCTTTTTGTTGTCCGTACCATGTAGTTCCCCCAAATATAGCCCCCCTGCTTTATAAGCCCTCATAAAACCCCTACAAAGCTGTTTTAGCCAAGTACATACAATCCAAAGATTACAGTCACATAAAGCGAGGTCTGAGGGGTAGTCAGTTTCTTGTGAACCAAGGCTGTGCTCTAAGAAAACGTCAAAGGGAGCCCAGTGCTTTGAACTTGTGAATTCCAGGGTGCCCAGCTTACTGGATTTCGATGCAAAATTAAGATTTCCTAGTCGCCCAAGAGCAAAAGTAAAGCATCAGGGGTCAGTGGGCACTGCTAGAGTACAGCCCTGTGAACAAATGAGTAACTAAATACACTGGAAATTATGAGAAGTTTGACTAGGTAGAATCCATTTCTTAAAATACATAAGCACGAGGAATTAATTGAGGTAGAAACAGTCAAGAAAATAACAGGTATAAGTTAATTCTCACACATCACTGGTAGTCATGGCAAGTTGATGCCACAACCTGACCTTTATCCCAAATTCATCAAAATGTACACACTCACCGTAGCATACCCCTAGAAAGATGGAACACTAACAAAATTACAAAGTGGCACATTACATTTAAACAGCAAACAAAACTGAAATCTTAGGGTGGGTGGTTGAGTGGGAAGGTCAGTAATGGCGGACGCAACAAAAGCAATTGTCTGCCTTTTGGTCGCATGACCCATACCCAGTCTCCCAGTGGTGTGTGACAAGAACATCTTCCAGTTATTTCGTTACACTCAGCCAGTGGAAAATTCTCCGGTTATTCACAGGAACAAGAGAAGCTGAAGGAGATGAAAGAGCATCTGGAGGAGTCCATGTCTTATCACGAAAAGGAGATCAAACACCATGAAGATGCCATCCGTCGCCACCGTAAGGCAATGGACAAGCATCAGAAAGGAATTGAAAAACTGAGTGATGCGGAATCATCCGATGACGAGAAAAAATAATGTGAAGAGTTTTTGTGTGTTTTGCGTTGCATTGGGTCACCTTTCTTCGTGGGGATGCTCGTAAAATTCAACTGTATGATCCTGAATGCAAGTGCAAATATTTTTTTCACTGCTGCTTTCTACTGGTTGTTATCATGTCTTAGGATTTTGATGAAAATAAAACGTTATCATCTGACCTGTTTTGTAGACACCTTCCTGTTAAAGCTTCGTTATGATGAAGTACCACCCCAATGGGTCAAAAATACGTATATAATATTTTCATTGCAAAACCAGCCCAAGTACCACCCCACAGGTCAAAGCAAACCAGCCCAAGTAGCAACCTGATGGGTCAAAAATAAGCATATTTTCATTGCAAAACCAACCCAATTACCACCACGACGGATAAAAATACACTTATTTTCATTTCCAAACCAGGACAAGTACCCCCACCCCCTCGGCGTGATGGGTAAAAAATAACCAATTTTTCTATTGACAAACAATGGCCATTGTTCTCTAATCACTCTGCAGTGAGACGAGAACAAATTATTCTCATTCTAATGTACAACAACGCCGAAAAGATCAGGAATACGCATCTCGTTTAAAAACTATAAACCCGTTAGGCGGGCAGCTTAACAAACAGAATAATTAAATGACTTAAAATTACAAATAAGTCACTTTACACAAATACAAATAAGTCACTTATAATTGATATTAGAAAACGGACTAAATATAATGAATTACAACTGCAAAACTGTACACTGAAAAGACATGGGTGAAAAAATTAGACGTGGGTTATGAAAAATAAAAATGCCATCGAGATAATATATTAACAAAAATAAGTACAAACTAAAGAATATCAAGAGATTATAACGCAAAAAGCGGAAGCGAACAAAAAGCCTCAAAAGAAAAATAGACTCGAAAAGAACCAGTGCAAAGAGATATGCCGTCGAGTGACCTTGTCCTAAAACTTACACCTTATATACGATAACACAAATGACAGCATGCAGAAGCATGCTATGATGTAACACCCAAATACCAAAATGTAACCACCGCGTGAATTCCCAAACGCGGGAAAATACGTTTTCCACCTTCCAAAACTTTACTATCAGCCGGACGTCGCACTCGGCCTCATTTTGAGAAAGAGGCGAGACAAAACGGGAATGGCCTTTTATGTGGGGTTGTAGAAGTCTCCTCTGCCGCAGGCAACTCCTGAAACACTGACCGTGAGGAGTCTGAGGACGAGAAGAAGAGAAAAAAACATGTGGTGGAGTTGTGGAGTTGCCATCTCTGTCGCTCCCAGTTCTCTCCCCATGCTCCCACTCGTTCTCTAAAACAGGACAGTGATGCCTGCGGAGGAGGCTAGAGCTGTAGAGTTGCTACGCTAAAAATCGGTTTGTGCTCGGTTTGGTGGGGGGAGGGGGGTGACGTCAGTTGATGGTTGTCTAGAAAAATTGTAACATTGGGCAAGCAAAAATAAAAACTGAAACAGCGGTAATAAAAATGTGAACTTGGGCATTTTTATATTAACTTGACGTTTCGTGTGCTAGTCCACGTATATTTTTAAAAACGCGACCATTACGGAAAGTGATAAGGGGTCTATGAATGAGTTTGGCGATGTGCAATTACAGTTAGAGTAGTCTGAAATGTCATCTGTCATCAAATCAATCTTGCCGCAAGTGATTAAAGGAGCTGTGTCACGAAATTCAGTCAAATTAGGAAGTTACAAAATGCCCGTTGAATTAAGAGAAACATGTAAATAACCGCTTAAATCTTTAAAGAAAGGTTAAAATAACATAACAGAAACAACAGATGCCACAGATGGGCAAAACTGAAGAAGATTGAAACGGACTGAAATTGGGGTTTTTGAAAACTGTTCAGCCTAACAGTTTTTCAAAGTTGATCCCCGCTGCTTACAACTACAAAAATAATGCTCAAGAGACATATTTGTTTGTCTCTAATCTCTGATTTTGTCATTTACCTGTAATTTCTTTGCATAGTTTAAGTTCCATAGCGATTGAGGGCGAGTAATTGGCAATTAATTAAGAAACGGTCCAGATAAGAACGATAGCAACAACGGCAACGAACATGTTGGAATGCAAAAAAGGTGCTAACTTTTCTATTGACTGTACTTACTTCTGATTGGCTTAAACAGCAAAAGTTAACAAAACTTCATAAAGCAGTACATATATTCATCCTTACTTTCCAACCATATTCCATATAACAAAATCTGGTCTCAGTTTGAATAACAAAGAAATCCTATGTGGGGAACATGTAAAATTGTAAACTTTTCTTGGCTATTTTTTTCAACTCTTGTGATTGGTCAAAATCTTTTTACACAAAAAAACACCCTTTCATAGTGGAGTGTAAATGCATTTTATTGCGTAAACGGCCTTCATGTAGGTTTATGCATTCTCTGTGTAAAAATGAGAACATTCCTATGTAGGGAAAGCACCGTTGCCGCATAACAAAAGAAATTGCCATCCACCTTACCCGGATCATTACTTAAACAAAATAAACTGGACTGGCGTGACACAGCCCCTTTAATGCTTACTGTCATGGTCCTAGAGATCTGAACGGCAACTCCAGACACAGGCATTGGTTTACCAGGGCGAAATATCCAACTTTTATACCGACTGCAAACAAAGTACAGTGGAACCCCGTCAATACGAGCACCGTTGGGCCATAAAATCCTGGTTGTCATAGCGAGGTGGTCGCATTAACGGCGGGGGGGGGGGCGGGTCTTTAGGAATTTCTGGGTGGGGATGTGCCGCTGGGACGCTGTAATAACCCTTAACCGATACCAGAGCTAGTTCAGCTGAATTTTGCTACCCTATACTACAGTCAACTCCCCAAATCCCCCCTATCCTAGAGTGGCTGTTTTCCAGAAAGTACTGAGGTCACTAGCACAGTCCAGTCAAAACAAAACCTTCACTAGTCTAGATAAAATCTTCAACCAACTGATCAGTTTCCTGAAAAATGATACCCTATTCTAGACCCAAACGCTCTGATTTATATACCCCCTCCTAGAGTAAACTGCTTAAAAACCATACCCTTCACAGCGGCACATACCTATATAACCCATATATGGCAGTACCTCCCCGGGCATTAACGGGGTCTCCAAAATGATAAAATGACTCAATAATTGTTACGTTTAGATCCAAAGAATGGCTTTTTAGTTATTTTGAGTGTCCCACTACTGTATGCACTGTTTATTTAATATTTATTTATACTGTTATATTCTTGTAAATTCTTTTAGCTGTCTACAGTAGTAGAAATAAACTGTTGTTGTTGTTTGTTTTTGTACTGATCCAGGTCTACAACTGAGAGATCCGGCACCACTCAACGGTTGGTCGCTGTGTACTTAATTGCTGATATTTTGTATTTTCGGGATCTGGGGTTTGGCCAAATATACGATGCGGGATTCGGGAAAACGCAAATTATATTGACGGGAAACGTGATCTGACTGCTACCCGGGAAGCGGTATTCACCGAAATTTCGGGCAAGAAGTTGCAAGATTTTTTTGTCTGTCTGTCGGACAGAATTCGGCGGGAAGTCGTACGTTCTAGCGGCAAATGCGAACAATCAAACAGGCGAGAGTTCAGTGGTGTCTCCTAGTATCTCGTTAACCTCATCGTTTATTCCGCTTTTTCCCTCTGCTTCGTCATACTGAGGCATTAAAAGATGTTGCAATGGCCTTAAAACACACGTAAATTCAAAATATCTATCGAAAGGGTCAATCTACTTGTTACTTTTTTAGCTTTTGCAGCAATTGGTCTTTTTAACTTATGTATTTTGGAAACAAAAAACGGGTTTCGGGAAAGTGATGAAAAATAGTGCGGGATGCGGGATTTTCGTGAAAAAGGAGGGAAATCGCGATCAGGCCCCTCCCCTCTCTTTCCAGACCCTGGTACTTGTGACCCGCACACAAAGTTGAGTTCTACTCGGGTCCAACGGCTGGAGAAGTAAGTCGAAAAACAAACTTTCTTATCTCTTTTTGACGCCAACAGTAAATAAGTGGATTAACAACAGAGTTAAACATAATAAACGTGCGGACCCAAATACACGGCAGGCAGTCAGCAATCAAACCTTGGTGAAAAATGTTCATCTTTTTCAACACAAAAACCGTCACCGTTGCAGCAGCCATGGGCAAAAAACATATAAACACTGCACTGACTACCAAAACGGTGGTTTTGAGAGCTTTTTTCTCTTTGTTGAATCTGTGCACTTCTTCTTGAGGTAATTGGTGAGCTTTGATCATCTTAACATGGCGGCGTGTCTCGCGAAACAAAATTGCATAAGCAAATGCCATGAAAATAACGCACGAAACAATGATTAAAGCTGCTAATAAATTTAACAGCGATGCCTTGCTTGTGTTTCGTGGCTCCCCAAGTGCAGCGTAGGAGATAGAAACGACCCAGGAAGCGATAACAGCTGCTCTTATGTTTCTTCTTGTAACTATGCTAGCGTAACGCTCGGTGAATCGGATCGCTATGAGCCTCTCGCTAGTAACTAACACGAGATGAAGAGAAGAACAAAGAGACAAGGCGCGGAGAACGATGGTGAATAAAAATCCGATCGTTTCGTGGGTTTTCATTTCTAGCAACTGTAATATTTTCCACAAGCTATACAGTGGCTGCGTTGTGAGACCAGTCAGTGCGTCGGTACCAGCTAGACAGGCCAGTAAAATGTTGGCATAGCTCTGAAGTCTCGGTCTTCGCTTCACGGCTATGATCACCATCATGTTGAGCAGGACGGTAAAAGGACAGACAACCATGTTAAAAATGATGGTGAGGATGATATTGAGTACTGTAGCATCTACGGCAAAGTTTAGTTTTGTCTCGCTTTCAGTAGTGATATTTGAAAACTTTTTGGTGGAATGGAGAATATTTTGTATAGAAAGGTTGGCCATGATCGCATCGATGCGCAGGAGACGTCAGCCGGTAGTTCCCAAGCCGAGATCGAGATGACGGGGTGCGTCTTTTCTTGATTAAAAACTCCCACTTTTCGGGTTCGTCTATTTGTATTAAAGGAACAACGTGCGTACTGAACTCAAATATATACTATAATCTTCCGTCAATCAAACCGTGGTCGTGAAAATAGATAGATATATAGACGCCTTGAAAATACCAAACGACACTGGTGATAGTCGAGTGATTTATGATTTAGCTCGCTAAACATCAGTCAAAGCCGCCCAGAATAAAAACTTAATCAGCAATACTTATTCCTTTTTAATTAAAAACCTCTTAACCTAATACTCTATGGACCAATGAATATTAATTGCTGCTTCACAGATGATAAAAAAAATCGTGGAGAAATTGGAGGCCGCAAAAGTTTGCAACGTTCACGATTTCGTTATCTTTACTGCTTATGAATCAATTGCAAACTGAAGAACTTTGTCCATCAGTCGTCTTTGATTCTCTTCAGTAAATAAATAATTCTGTTTTCTTTGGATGAATTGCAGTTAAAATAAGCCAGCGACCTACTGTATGCCGATTTTCTATGAAACTAACAGCCGCCTTTCATCTGTCATGATCAATTTCACTTCACTAAACCTTTCTACCGTCGTATCAATTATTGCTTAAAGGATTACATTAAGTGCTTTTACTTGCTTCCTTTTAATCAAAAACAAGCAAAAACATATTATCTTGACTAACGCTTCGCTGAAAACAGTTTTACTCAAGTGTTTTTTAATACATGTTTTCCCAAGCTTTAAGACAGGCGCGTTTTTCCCTCCTTGTACATTACATTTTGTTCGTGAAGGAATTGGTGGATCACCTTAAAAACAAATTAAACGTCATCGGGTTAGTTTTGTTCATTCCTTTTTTATTTTTTGTGCAATAACTTGCTGCCAAGAACTATTATTTAAAGTAACATTTTTGCAGCTTCTAATCACCCAAATCATAAAACACAATATTTTACACGTTTTGCTGTTCATTACGAGAAAATACGCAATCACCTTTTAGCCGTAGACAAGCCAAAATATCTACCAATCAGTCTGTAAATGCCACTACACGCGCTATTCAGACCCCCATTTTTATATATTTCTCATACCTTCGACACAGGGATGATAGGCTGATAAGGCAATTGGCAGAGAAATTAGCTCTTCTTAAAAAACTCACTTCTCATAGAGTTTCTTCATTTATAACTAAAATATACAGATAAAACTGTCTTTGTAAATTGAAAACTCGCTAAGGTACGTAGTTCATTGTGAAGAATCGACTAGGGGATTTTAGCACAATGCAAATTTGTAGACAATCAAGACTCTTCGGTTGATGTCTTGTAATCATGCTCAACTAAATATCACATCTTGAAGATATTTGCCATATTCAGTAGTTTTCTATATATACGTGTAGCATCTTAACACTTCTTTCGTTATTGTTTTGGCTTTAATTACGCAGCAATTTCGTGTGAAGAACTTCACCATCGGGCTATGTAAGAACCATAAGAAAAACTCAGGCAGTGGCCTCTGCCAGGCTCTCAGATAGTAGGAATGACACCGACCAGCATCAAATTTCTCCTCGTAATATCAACGCTTTGTAAAACAGAGTGGTCTTGAGAATTACGGACATGATCACCCAAGATGAATCTGATTGATATTTTATCAAGTTCTCCCCACTACTTCTGTACGAAATGAATAGGGGGCAACATTAGAATTTATATTTTGATCTCATGGTTTAAAGTGTTAAAATTTCTGGTATAAACTATTACTGATGTAAGTAAGTGTTAAAATTTCTGGTATAAACTATTACTGATGTAAGTAAGTGGGACTCTACGACATGTATAACGTATTCTACAGTCCACTATCAACGTCGTACTTTAGAAAGCTGGTTTACTAACTTAGAACAAACGCCACTGAATCGTAGCCAACAGTTACCAGCGCCGTACAAACGACTTATTGAGGAGATCAAGCAAAACTAACTACGAGAGAACGACTGGAGAACTGACAATTTGACTAACAATAGACGACTGTTCAACTGTGACAATAGACGGATCAAAACGTACCAATTACTGATTACGAACCTTCATAGCCAATAACATCACGGCTTAACTGACAGACGACAAATAACATCGCAACGTAATTGACCAATCAGATCAATAACCAGAGTATAATACCATCAACTGACGTGATACAACTCACTTTGACTCTGAAGATGACTACCGAGCAGGTTGTCGAAACGTCAGTCACTGTCAACGACAATAGTCCTATTCAGGACTACGTTCACCCGGACGATCAAACTCAACGTACTATAACAAATATAATTGATAAAAATGTTTGAAGCAGAAATCCGTGACTAGAAAGTCATTCAGTACTCAGTTGTGAGTAGAACGGTAGAAACTTTCACGTGCCAGGACCCTTGCAATTAAAGTTAAGCTGATTGTTTATTTCATTTTAGATTCAGAGAAATGATATCGTATGAGCGGATTGCAGTATCTGGAAAAATCGTCGTCTACTGCAAAATAAATGGAACTATTCTTGGATCATGTAGTGACGGTATTTGGACGCTGGTCATGAAGATTGATGGCTCAAAGGTACATACCGTTTAACAAATCCTACAGCTTCAGTGTACATGAGCAAACCTTAATCTCAGGGTTCTCCTCCTTTTCCTCGTGTCTTATTTGTCTGGGCCGGGTTGTTCAAAGCAGGGTTAAGATAACCGAGGCTGGGGGAGCGTAAATTTGTGATTCAGATAGAAAAAATTAAAAAGCAAATTCCATTTAATTCTTTTTGTCTACAATTTGATGATTGACTATTCTAAAAAGAATAGAGAAAACTGTCTGGCGAGAAAAAGCTTTTGATATGAAAAGTTGTGTATTATTAGTACATGTTTTTTTTTGCCTCGTGTCCGCGCATAGATGCAATACAACCGACGGCATCATACTACAATCGACATCTCTCTAGACGGACAATTAGTGCTGCTTCAAAGGATGTCCGTTATAGAGAAAAATTGACAGTTTAAGGGAGTTACCAAATAATTTTCTTCTCCTCGAACTACAACAGACGGCTCAAAAATATATTTTTATACGTGGAGGCTCTGCCTCAAGATCCAACCCCTTACCCTTTTATCCACCATTTTTCACGAAAAAGGTACCCCTTTCCTATACCTTCTATTGACAAATGGTACCCCTTTCACATACCTTGTTTAAAACTTTGCATCTCTTTTAACTCCTGTAAATGCACTATCATTTAACTAGGAATCAATCACTGAAATATACCTTTTCTCGACTTTTTAAAGCCATAAAATTCATCTGTTAGCCCTTTCGGCCCTTTCACAGACCTAAAAGGTAGATTTTCCTACCCTTTCATATACCTGAGGCCTTGAAATGGTACCCCTTTTGGGCGGAGCCTACCCGTATAGGCAATCATAGGGGGGCAGTGGTATAAATTGTTTGTCTCAGTTACCGGGAGTCAACCAAGGACGAAGTTTATTTGGATAACTTCTTATGGCTAACATGTCAAGTTTACAAGGCTAGTGCAGCTGCCCCCAGTCCTTTAGGAATATACTGCCTATTTTGTGAGCCCCCATAACCCTTTGGGCCCTATTTCCCCCTATTTTTATCTTGTAACATATTTCTAATTAAGAGGGCCACAAGTTTGTTAGTTGTCTATTAAACTAGTAGGTGTTACCCTCTAGAAATAAAGTTTGATTGATTGATTGATTGATTGATTGAGCTGCCCACATTTTCGAGAAAAGCGTTCTATATAAGACTAAAAGCACTCAATAATAGAAATTTGGGCTCCATGGCATATTAAAAAAGAAAAGGGCCTAACTTCCTATTGACGTGTGTCGCTCAAAAACGCCTTTGTTTGAGTTTCCTTTTAAAAGAAGAAATGACGAGAAAATGTTGAGCCAAAGTTAAAAAAATGTAGCTTCGGCACCATGTCACAATGTCAATGGTTAGAAAGGACGTCAAGAACTTTTCATCAGTTCTAAACAAAGGTTGAAGGAAGGACCTTAATAGTAGGTCTATTCGCGTTAAGTAAGTCTTGTTTTAAGCTCACCACCGAACTCAACTAACCGTAACCACAATAACAATTTGCATTTTTACTGTCCATCTAAAACAAAGGGTGTTATGACTCACGATCAATGTTTTGTTTTTATGAAAACTTTAAAAAAAACTCGCAAAAAACGTAAACACTCATTTGGTTTGGCGACAACCAATGCCTTTTGTCTTTGTGTACACCAAACGAAAACAAAATAACTATCAATATCAGTGCAGTCTTGGTCGGCTGTTTACGCGCTAACGGTACAGTAAACTATATAAATGAACCGGTACGCTAAGCCTGAATTTCATTCGATTGCTTCGAGTCGTTTTCTCCCCTCAGCAACTGAGGGAATAATAACGACTCGAAGTAAGCGGATGAAATTCAGACTACCGGTACGCTAAGACAGTCCTTCATTTTTCTTTCTTGTATTAATGATCTGATGTTCACAGTTTATCAGTTCATCCGATTAGTTTTTTAAAAGAATTAACGCAGTTTACTTGCCTCGTCAAAACAAGGAAGAATTAGTAAGAGAATTAATACAAACGTTGCTGATTAATGAATCTGGGAATGCCAGCATCGAAAATCAGAATGCCGTTTCTTTGAGCTTCCTTCAATAGGTTTCAATTAAACGATTGGGTCGCAGCAAGAGTTATATTCAAATTAAGGTTCCTCCCCTCGAAATCACAACAACGAACAAACGAGTTATAGAATCAGTATTATCCAATCAGTTTTATCACTTACAGTGACGTCAGTATTTTCCGATTGGCAGACATCTCCTCTATTGTTCT